ATGATTAGATTTTAGGAGGAGGAAATTTAGTGAATTTGACCTTTCTCCAATCCAACTTGGTATTATTCCAGACAATCTATTATTACTCAAACCCAGAAATTGTAATTTACTGCAGTTCCTTAAAGAGCTAGGAATTTTCCCAGACAGGTTGTTGTTTTGCAAATCAAATGTTTCAATCAAAGAGAGAGATCCCACAAAGCGCGGAATTTTTCCAAAGAAATGATTGTTAGCCAAATTCAAAATTTGCAGACTTGACCAATGCATCATACAATTGGGAAGCTTTCCAGATAGTTGATTGCTTGAAAGATAAAGGAACTCAAGAGACATACCAGTCATAGTACAGAGAGAAGAAATTGACCCATTAAACCTATTTTTTGAGAGGTTTATGTGTGTGGTATTAGCAGGAAATGACGGTAATGGACCCTCCAAACGATTTCCACTTAAATTTATCCCAAAGCCATAAGAATCAGATGAAAAATTCCTTGACCAATCTGGAAGAATACCACTAATTTGGTTGGAAGAAAGATCTATCATTAGTGCTGTAGATGGCAAGGTGCTGAACCAGATGGGGATGCTATCTGAAATTTCATTTGCAGAAATATTAAGAACCACATAGTTCTTTTGGGTCTGTAACCAGCTTGGAAAATCAGGGCCCAATTTGCAAGACCCAAGACGAATATATTCCAACTGGAATGGAGGAATCCAATCACGGCTGAAGTTGATGCTCAGATGATTAGAAGACATGCCCAAGTACCATAAATTAGATAGTGTTGAGAAGTGTTCCTCGGTGATCACCCCATTAAAAGAATTGAAAGAAATAGATAAGGCCTCAAGCTTTGATAGCAATCCGATACTTTTGGGTATATTACCACTCAGTTTATTGTTTGAAAGGAACAAGTATCGCAATGATGATAAGTTACCACTCCAAAAGGATTTTGGAATCTCCCCCTCAAACTGATTATGATCGAGATATAACTCTTCCAGAAGAGTCATGTGACTAAAAGTTTCTGGAATTGGACCTCGAAATTGATTAGAACTCAAGTCGAGACTAACAAGGCTGTTGCTAAAGTTGAACAACCACTGGAATGCAGAAGTAGTCAAATTGTTGCTTCCTAGACCAAGTTGAATAAGAGAAGTACTAGAAGTATTAATTTTGGTGAAATACTGGGGATTGACATCTCGAAGATTACATCTATATAGAGACAGGTTAGTTAGATGAGGAAGCTTATTAATTACTTGCAGCCCATCCTTGTTGACCTTACTAAGGTCGATTTGACTCAGACCAAGGTATTGCAAGTAAGAAAGACGAGAGAGCCACTCAAGATTTTTGACACTGTTGAAGTTATTATAGCTAAGATCAAGATATTGCAGACTTGCGAGGTTTGCAAGCTGACTAGGAAGAGATCCACTTAAATTACAACTACGGAGGTCAAGATGTTGTATTTTGTTGGGTGACCTGATAGACTCTGGAATGTGGCTTAAGTTGAAATTATTCCCACTAAGGTCTAAATAAATTAAATGCTGCAACTCAAATAGAGAAGGACTAAGATTACCTCTTAAGATAAAATCACGATCATACCAATACGTGGTTAGATTAAGCATAGTGATGTGCCCAGTTGTGTTGCTACATTGAACTCCTTCCCATTCACAGCAATTCTTTTTCTCTTCTTCACTGCCCCATGAGGAAGGCCATCCATGTTCATCAACCAGACCTTGCTTAAATGCAAGAAGAGCTTGTCTTTCGCTCTCTATGCACTTAACTCCATCATCAGCTATTGTTGAATTGGATCCAATTGAAGTTTGCATATGCAGTAAAATAAGAAGTACATAGACAAGATGAAGGGACCTTGC